TATTTCTCCCACTGACACCAATGATGGGGCACTATTCCCCCCACTGACACCAATGATGGGGCACTATTACTCCCACTGACACCAATGATGGGGCACTATTCCCCCCACTGACACCTATGATGGGACACTATTCCTCCCACTGATACCAATGATGGGGTACTATTCTCTCCACTGACACCAATGTTGGGGCACTATTCCTCCCACTGACACCTATGATGGGGCACTATTCCCCCACTGACACCAATGATGGGGCACTATTACTCCCACTGACACCAATGATGGGGCACTATTCCCCCCACTGACACCTATGATGGGGCACTATTCCTCCCACTGACACCAATGATGGGGCACTATTCCTACCACTGATACCAATGATGGGGCACTATTCCTCCCATTGACATCAGTGATGGGACACTATTCCTCCCACTGACACCAATGACATGGCACTACTCCTCCCACTGCAAAATTACAGTTATGAAGTAGCAACGAAAATAATTTTATGGTTGGGGGTCACCACAACATGAGGAACTGTATTAAAGGGTCGCAGCATTAGGAAGGTTGAGAACCACTGCTCTAGTAGTATCTAAGGATCTATATTGGGTAATTGGGAACGCCTTCCTCCTGCTGGGGATTCTACTAGCGATAACTAATAATCTACATGGTGGAATCAGGACCTCCTTCCTTCTGCTATGATCCCTCTAGTGATAACTAAAAGTGAAGGGCAACACAGTGGATAAATATCGTAAAAATGAGTATATGCAGCGCTGATGTTAGATGGATAATAGAATGGATATTATATAATAAGGCATAAAATTATTATCAAAACTATAACAATATTAAATCATTTGCGCACTGAGGCGCTATAATGAATAATGGTGTAAAGGATAAAATGATCAGTCATAACAATTTGCGCTCTATGGCGCTAAAAGGATGTAAATGTGAGAACGTCCAAACTTGACGTCATATGGTGCATATAGTGGTGTATAAAAATTCCCAAAATCCAATAGCAGCAAATTGGTGAAAATCCGTGACTGTGGTGTCTAAAAAGGATGAGTGTAGATTGCACTAACCAGAGAGCGCAAACTAATGCGCATTTGAGTAAATCAAAGACCAACTCCTGGTCATCTGTATCTGGACACTGGAACAATGGGGGTCATCTGGCAAGCGTCAGGTAGGCAGGTAGAACACCATAGGGATATCCAGGCTCCAGAAATGCACTCTTCAGATTTTCTTGAATGGTAAAAACAGTAATCAAAATGGCCGTCGGCCGTCCACGTGGGCCGTGCGGAGTGACATCACAGGGTAAGGGCTGAATATATTTCTTAATAAGGTTGGCTGTATGTTTGGGGTCATTATCCTGTTGCAAAATAAATTTGGGGTCAATCACATGCCTGTCTGATAATATGGCATGATGGATAAATATCTGCCTGTATTTCTCAGCATGGAGGACACCATTGATCCTGACCAAATTTCCAATTTCATTTGCAGAAATGCAGCCCTAAATGTGCAAAGAACCTCTACCATGCTTTACTGTTTCCTGCAGACACTCATTATTGTACCGCTCTCTAACCTTGCCCAGACAAACTGCCTCCTGCTACAGCCAAATACTTCAAATTTTTAGTCACCAATCCAGAGCACCTGTTGCCATTTTCTGAACCCCAGTTCCTATTTTTTCGTGCATAGTTGAGTTGCTTTGCTTTGTTTCCATGTCGGAGGTATGGCTTTTTGGTCACAATTCTCAAGCGAAGACTACTTCTGGCCGGACTTCTCTAGACAGTAGATGGATGTATCTGGGTCCCACTGGTTTCCGCCAGTTCTGTGCTGATGGCACTGCTGAAGATCTTCCGATGTAAAAAAGAAGTAAGAGTGATGTGTCTTTCATCTGCCACATTAAGTTTCCTTAGCTGACCACTGCATCTACAGTCCTCTATGTTGGCCGATCAATGGTATTCTCAATGCTGAGTAATACAGGCAGGTACTTATCCATCATGCTATACCATCATGGAGGCATGTAAATGGCCCCAAATGTATTCTTCATCAGGAAAATGACCCCAAACATGCAGCCAATGTCAATAAAAACTATCTTCAGCATAAAGAAGAACAAGGAGTCCTGGAAGTGATGTTTGACCCCCACAGAGCCCTGATCTCAACATCATTGAGTCTGTCTGGGATTACATGAAGAGACAGTAGGATTTGAGGCAGTGTACATTTGCAGAAGATCTGTGGTTAGTTCTGCAAGATATTCCTTCAAAAACTGTGTGCATGTGTATTTAGAAGAATTGATGCTGGTTTGAAGCCAAAGGGTAGTCACACCAAATATTGATTTAATTTAGATTTTTCTTTCTTTCTTTTTTTCTAGATTTAAAATATATTTTTGAAGGCATTCTTTTTTAACAGCATTTCTTCACACCTTCCTGATGGTGATGCCCTTAGTGATAATTAAAGTGGAGTTCCACCTGAAAATAAAAAAGAATAAGTCAGCAGCTACAAAAACTGTAGCTGATGACTTTTAAAATACAGATACTTACCTATCCCTCAGTCCAGCGGTGTCATCATCACCGCTGGTTCCACCGGCCGTCTTCTCTCCCTGGTTCCGGCATCTTCAGTGTGCCCATTTCGTATGCGAGAGAAGCGCTGCGCTTTGTGAATGGCCCCATTGTCTTTTGGAACTTGTCACGTGTCCCAGAAGACTACGGGGGGGGGGGGGGTTTGGGTGGAGGACAACTTCCGCTTCCGATCGGCTAGGCGATTGCAGTGGAAGTGGGAGCGGGTACCTGTCGAATTCGGTTAGCCGCTCCTCCCCCGTTCTCCAAAGGTGCCTTAATGGGGATCGGCGGACAGAGGCTTTAAGTAGAACTTCCCCTTTTGGGTGGAGCTCCGCTTTAAATATCTATATTGTACAATCAGAATGTCCTGCTGGTGATCTCTAGTGGTAGCTAAAGATCTATATAAAGGAATCAACACATTCTTCTTTCCTGTGGTGATCCCGCTAAAGCACTGTGTATCATAAACATCTACCATGTTTTTTAAATAAAATATTTGTTTTCACATTTTGTTAACCTTAGTTGCATCTAAGTGCTGCTGATCTCCTGCTGAATTTTTGCAGACTTTGTATGCAGATGCTGCAGTGATGGCAACGTCGCATTTCTCATGATGTAATAAAATATCCTAAATGTGCCACGCTCCACTCAAAATTACAACAAATTATAAACATAGGTGCAAATAATAAAATAAGCCAACACAAATATAGCAAAATGTCCGTATTAACTCCTTGATTCTCTGCAGTCACTGTTGTGCAATAAATCAAGTGCTTCTCAATTCACCTCTGGTGTCTGCTATCAAGTCAACATTTGTGCACCCCCACCAGTTATGCTCTTACCTTAAATAAATGACCAAACCATTAAGTGAGGTCATATAAAGCCTGTGTCTCTTTAATGGGTCAAATATGGATGGGATTGGAATTCGTTAGGTCTGGATCCCCTTCACTCCTCTAGTTACTCTCCTCCATCGGTTAAAATGTCAAGAGAAATAACCAGAACATAGTGCTTTTATCCTTATAACAAGCATTTATTTGTACTAAAAATGTTCCATTCAAATGTGCAGTATATAAATGCGCTTTTTGCAAAAATAATTTCTTCCAGTGCCGCTAGAGGCTCTATCCTGTGTGCATCCATCTGATACCTCTCTATGTCCAATGAGTGACGTAATGTCAAAGCCCCTCCCTTACGCGTTACGCCACCGGATCATGTGGTTTCATCAGGGGGAATGATCATGATGAGTATCCTGATGGTGACAATAGTGGATCTTGCCTGTGCAATGAGCATTGGCAAGGCTACTTGTATTCACCATAGGGAGAATGTGAGAGAAAAAAAAACAACACAGGAGTACAGCTAGGAAATGGGGCAGAACACTTGCAAGAACAGGGATCTCTATGGCAGGATCAGCATATAGTATGCCAATAAAAACTACTTGAAAATATAGAAAATGTGTTTTGAAATTACATTAATGTGTCCATGCATATCAGAAATTTTAGTGCTTCCTATTACACATGATAATTTTGCTGAAATATAATTCTACTTTGCATACAGTTGGGTTAATTTACTAGGATAAAATCCAAGGTTATAAAACAATTTCCTGAGATATTGATGCCAAGCTTCTGAACAGAGGCATTCTTGTGTGATAATAAAAGGTCAGTGGACCACTGTATCCCATATATGGCCGCTGGCCAGTTAGATTGTGACTGCTTTGTAAAACCAATTTAAAGGTTCAGCCTACTGTAAAGTGATATTTCATTTGCTGGTAAATTCTGGAAAGGTAAACCTCACAATGGTTTATTAAATCTCAAAAGTTGGCTTTGATTGCTTCAAAAAAAGGCTCTATGTGTTTCTATATGTACAAGAAATAACTGGCTATTAATATCTATAAGAAATAACATTATAGTTCATCCAGTGAGTAATTAATGTCTTAGGAGATCAAAGACATCATTTTTTTTTCCTGTTAGAGTCATTTGAATCATGCTTTATAAGGGTTTTTTTTTTTTCCTCTGTGGGTTTAGGGTTTTGAGGATGCATTGTGGTATTGCTGTAATAGTCAAACGTGGAGGTCATGTGACTCCTTTTAACTTTAACTTTAGAACTGGCTATACATTAGTAGATTTTCAAACAAATGTTTTCACAAAAATGTATATGTACATTCAATGGCTGGATGAATATCTTCAAAACTGAACAAATGTCAATCATTTGGGAGTTCATTCATTCCACTGGCCAGAATATTACTCTATTGTAGCTATTAGAATAAATTAATGCTCAAGTGCTAACCGCACCTAGCATTTACAGACATTTACATTCATTTAGGCACATCAAAACCTGAATGTGCAAGTGATGTTTTTTTTTCATCTGCCTCTAGACACCTGTAAATGCCTATGTGTGCAAGGACACCTAGACTAACATAGAAGTGTGTAGAGGCAGAAAAATAAACTTCAAACGCCTCTAAGTGCCATGTTTTTAATACCCTGTGTGCATTTGGCCTTAAAGTCATTATGGCAAATATACAATTATGTAGTCATGCTTTTCAGGGGTGACCAGGGCGGACTAAAAACTCATGGGGCCCTGGGCAATAAGAGATAATGGGGCCCCATGTGTCTCCGCCTACACTAAAGTCAAAGCCACACCCACACAACACCCCACCTACATATTGCAGCTCAGCTGCATATCAAGGGAATTAAAAATAATTTTAAAAATAATAAAACAACGTCGTGGGGTCCCCCCTCCATCCATACCAAGCCCTTCTGGTCTGATATGGGTTTTGAGGGGAACTGCCACGTCAAAATTAAGAACAAATGGCTTGGGGTCCCCCCCAAGATCCATACCAGACCCTTATCCGAGCATGCAGCCCGGCAGGTCAGGAAAGGGGGGGGACGAGCGAACGCTCCCCACCTCCTGAACCATATCAGACCACATGCCCTCAGTGACATCATGCGTGTGGCCCCCACCTCCTTGACATCATTGACCCAGCATGCCCTGGTTGATGACGCCACAAGGGGCAGGGGTCACACACGCGATGTCCCCGGGTGGCCCCGCCCCTTACATATTTAAGAACTGTCAAGCCAGCGAAGCAGGCAGATGGCCGGTGACAAGAGTTAAAGTGAACCTGTTGCAAATGTGTATAATTCAAACTGAGCATATGATGAGAAAATTAAGCAGAGGCCACATTTAGTGAATGTTAAAATGAAGAACAGATCCAAAGATAGAAGTTAATGATTTTATATGAAAATTCTGACATATCCTGTAAAAAGTCAATCAACGTCCAACTTCTTCCTTCTTCCTCGAGCCTTTATATGGGTTAAGGAAGTCTCCCAAAACAAAGTGAGAACAGCCGGTAGCCTGAGAAGCCAACTCAAAGAGGAATTCATTGCTGCGATAGGAGTCCCTGAATATTTAGAAGAGGGGTCTTGGCAGGACCAACACAGCACTGTTTGTTATGGAAGCAGACATGATTTTTCTCTGCTGCAATTAAATAAATCTTACAGGTCTTGTTCCTCCCCCAGCCTGTGACTGGACAGTGAAAGGAGAAGCAGCAGACTGATGAGCTTTCTCTATCAGCATGTTCCTTGTTAGAACATGGGAACTCCAGCATACCTGACTTTCTCCTTATGCTGCATCTTTCCTACTCAGTCTGAGCTCTGCTGCATGGGAACTATGACAGGCTGATACCAAGGCAAGTTCAGATTCTTACAGTGATTGCACTGAACACAGAGCTGCATTAATTTGTGTCTTGTATATCTGCTTGGAGTTTAACTTTATAACCTCCATTCAAGTATTTTTTTTTCTTTTTCTTTTGCTCAGTTTCTATTTCCCAGGTTTGCGAAACGTTTACTTTAAACCCTGAATAAAAGGAAACATTACCAGGGATGTCAATTTCCGAGAAAAAAACTTTCAGTCATTGGATTTTCCCAGGAAGTCGTGGACAGTTACCAACTTTGATAAAAGTTATTTTTATTGTAGTCCAGCATATCATTGACCACATCAAACACAATTCAATATTATTATTATTTTTTTTGTGTTATTATTATTATTAATAATAATAACAATAATAATAATAAACAGGATTTATATAGCACCAATGCTTTGCGTAGCACTTTACAAAATGAAGGTAGACATTACAGTTACAATACAATTTGGTACAAGAGGAAACAGAGGGCCCTAGATGACTTTGTAATTTCCTCAAAAATGAATATAATTAGCTACGCTGGTATAAAAACAATGTTATTTATCTAGTCCAACAATTCCAAAAATGGTCTTTCACCACTGGAGTCTCCAAGAAGTGCTACTTTTATTGTAAACCTCTGCTGAGAGAATATAGAGGTTTCCAGTGCTGACCTCCTGAAAATGCTCCTTACCTGGCTCTCTTTGGCTTCAAGCAAAACTCCAGCCAAAAACAAATAAAAAATAATAGCCCATTATTAAAAAAAAAACAAAAAACAAAACCCACTTTTGCTGCAATGTTCACCTTCAATCCAGAGCTTTTCCCCACAGTAACTCTATCTGATGGCCAACATCACTGAATCCCCTTCTTTTGAGTCCAAGTAATCCTGAACGTGCACCAGACTGGACAGTAAAATAAAAAAAAAAGCACATTGATTAGCTCATTTTTCTGCCACTCTCTCCTCTTATCAGCATGCTTCTTGTCAGCACTGACTGATTCCTTGTGCTGCTCCTTCCTCTCACACTCCAGCCCTGCTGTACAGGGAATTGAAAGAGGCCAATGACAGCTCAAATTCAGATACTTACACTTTTGCATTGCAACAATATAATAATGTATTATAGATTAAAGAGCTACATTAATTTGTACATTTTTTTTTATCATCCTAGAGTTTTTAGAGTTATTTACTCATAAAAAGCATGTAGCAAATGAAAGTAAAACACAAAAAAATGTTGGGAATTCCTGATTGTCGGCAACTCTTGTGTTGAAGACAAAGCATCATTGTGTCAACCAGGGAAAAAAAAAATTTCCATATGGACAGGCAACGCTAGCCCACTTCTCTAATCACAGTTTTCCCCTAAAGTGTAATTCCAGGCAAATTCTAACTAAGCCTAAACCTACTCCTACCCCCATTCGCAGTCCATTCTATCCACACTGTATAAGAATACCTATACTTACCTATTCTGAAGATGAAGAGGTCCGGTCACATGATCCCTCCAGCGCCAGCTTCAGTGTAGAGGAGAGATCGCCGACAATGGCTGCAGAGCCTGGGCAATGATATCACCCACAGACTTACTATTGGTCATCTGTTGTCGGCTCTGGAGTCCCTCCTGTACACTAAAGCCAGCGTTGGGACCCAATCCTGTGACTGGACCAGAGTGGCTTCAGAATAGGTAGGTATGGAAATCTTTTTTTTTTTTTACAGGGTAGATAGAATAGTCTTAGAATGGGGGTGGGGGGTGGGAGTAGGTTTAGGCATAGTTAGAATTTGACTGGAATTACACAAGAACAATTTTTCTTATGACAATTTTTTCTAGTACACTATTGGATACATTAAAAGCAGAACTCTGCTTTTAAATATGTATTACTGGCACTAGCTTCCTTAAAGTGGAACTCCACCCAAAAAGGGAAGTTCCACTTATTGGCATCCTACCCCCCTCCACTGCCATATTTGAAACTTTTTTGGGGCAGAGGAAAGCAGGTACTGGGTTTTGATAGGTACCCGCTCCCCCCTCCGGCTGGGTTTGCAGCGGCAATCTCCGACCCCTCCTCCTTCTCCCCGCAGCCTTCTGGGACACATCACAGGTCCCAGAAAACTGTGGGACCAATCACAAAACATAGCACTGCAAGAAGCTGCTTCACTGCTTTCCCTTAGTTAAAATTCCAGTGCCTGCACCAGATGCCGATTAGGGAAATCAGCTCAGGTGCAGACATCTCCGGACACCTGAACATGTAAGTTTTATATTAAAAGTCAGCAGCTACAGTTGTTTTGTAGCTGCTGACGTTTAATTTTTTTTTTTGAGACCAGAACTCCGCTTTAAATAAGTCCTTCAACAGAATATTTGTTTTTTTTCTCCTTTTCCCCTATATAGAACTTCGAATTTACACTTTTAAACACTTCACTAAATAAAAAAAATGAATAATAATTTAAAAAAATAATAAGGTTAGATAATATTTAATAAATATACAATATTGATATTAATAAATCTAAAAATAAACACATAAATTAACTTTATCTATATAGTAATAAAATTATAATCAAATGAATCAATTAATAACGTTAGTTAATATCTTAACACAGCACCTATGTGAAGGTGATTTTGCTACCTTGCTGGCGAGATGCCAGGGAATGCTGAATATCCCACTTTTTGCAAAGGACCCTCTCCTGAGAGTTTCTAAAACAGAAGGAATTCATTAAGAATCTTATAAATTATGAATAGTGGTTTTAGAGGAATGTAAAGTGTCAAACCGCACATCAGATTGTGGCGCATTACATTTCGCATAAATTATTATGTCGCAGTGCATACAGTATTATTAGGCATGGAAAGCATGATCTTGACTGTCTTGTGCCATCATCCTCTTGGCACACCTCCAAATAAGGAGGAACTAATTTTTCTGAAATTCTTTTTGAATTATTTATTTGTAGAAGATCCTGTGACTTCTGTACATGTTGCATTTTGGGATTTTTTCACATTTGCTACACTAGTCACATTTTCTTGCTCAAACCTTTCAACTTAAACAATAATTTGGCATTCTATAAATTGGTGTTCCCAGCTCCAAATATTTGGTGCACCAATAATAATTTATTGGGCCCAAAGTGTCAAGTTTTTATCTTGAGCAAAAAATATGTTGGGCAATGTGCAATGTACAATGGATGCTAGTTGTCTCTCGCATTCTGAACATCATTGTTCTCAGACCTGTCTAACATTCATTCCTGGAATTGAGCCAGGATGAATAATTTCCCGTTGCTAAATTAAAATAGAAAAATCCACCCTGGCCGCTGAGACAATGAACAGAACAGCTAACACTAATGGCAGATAATTGTCACAAGGGTCACTAAACTCTACAATATGTGTAAGACGTAATGCATGTTAGAGGAAATGTGCACTTATAGATTTGCCCAAATCATGTGACTTCAGTAATAAAGTCAATATTTGCCAATGTAAACAGCTACTATATACATACGTTCACTGTGTATTTATCTATGTGCCTGGAGCTCAGCTTAAGCAGCTAAATTCACAGATAAAATATATACATGGGAGTTGTTTTTACTTTTATTTGTGAGTGTGGCCATCCAGTCCTGAGATGTATACAGCACAGCCCTGTATCCCAAAGTGGGAGAATCGATCTTTCTCTGCTGTGATTAGGTTACACTTACAGGCTTTGCCCCTCCCCCAGCAGTGAAAGGCTTTGCCCAGCAGCCGATCAGCTCTTTTTTTCTGTTACTCTGCTCTCTCCTCCTATTAGCATACTTTTTGTAAGTACAGTCAGGTCCATAAATATTGGGACATCGACACAATTCTAACATTTTTGGCTCTATACACCACCACAATGGATTTGAAATGAAACGAACA